ACACAAATAACTGTATTAAGGGGTTGCAGCATTAAGAAGGTTGAGAAACACTGCTCTAGTCTTGACTCCAGCCCACTCTTTGTCTCAGAGATCAGATTAAAAGTGCTGCGTACATTTGCTGTACACATAGAAATTCTAGATATGAAGAATCTCTTGATTTTTTGTTCAGAATAATATTTATTTAAAAGTGTTGTCTTCTGGATGCCTGTAAACCTTGAGTTCAAAGAGCCAAAATAAATCAATGACTGCAAAACAAGCAGAGCCATTTCGGCACACATCTGTTGGATGTCAGCAATTAATGTCACTGGGCTTTGTGTCACTTCTGGCCATGAAAATCAACATTATGTAGGACATCTACAAAGTATTTTTAAAACAATTTAAGATATACAGTTTAGCTTTTGGAGAGGGCAAATAGGACACCCGGGTGGTCTTGGGACAGAAGCAGGAATGTGGGCGGGAGATAGAAAGAAGTAGACAGAGTGTTTCTTATGATTTTTTTTCCATGTCAGGAGTAACTTGAGAAACTGCAAGTCACTTCTGGTGTGAGAGAATTGGCCCTCTGCAAGGATGTTGCCCAGGGGATGCCCGGATGTTTTGATGATGATGATGATGATAATAATAATAATTTAACTTCTTATATCCCGCCACCATTTCCCCGAAGGGACTCGGGATGGCTTACAGACAGCACGAAGTGCCTAAAAACAAAACATAAACATGAACACAATATAAAATACAATAAAATAAAACACATGCACATATAAAAACAAAATTCAGACTCAATCAAGCTGCAATCCTCTAACCATGGCAGTAAATTACAGATTACACAGTAATAACAACCATCCTGTGGGAGGCTTCTTTCATGTGCTCACATGAGAAGCAGGAGCTGATAGACGGAAGCTCACACTGCTCTCTGAATTCGAACCATCGACCTTTCAGTCAGCACTCCTCTGGCACAAAGGTTTAACCCATTGTGCCACTGGGGGCTCCATTCCTTATGATGCATGTAATAAGTGTAGCTGAGGTGGGGCCAAAATAACACCATTGCTCCTGCCATAAGAGTTACACTCTCCTACATTTTCTTTCCGTTTTGTCTGTTGGAGCTAGGTGTGAATGTTTCAATTGGCCACCTTGATTAGCATTTGATGGCCTGACAGTTTTTAGGCGTGGCTTGTTAGTGCCTGGGGGAATCCTTTGTTGAGAAGTGATTAGCTATCCCTGATTGTTTCTTCTCTGGAGTTCCCCTTTGTTTGAGTGTTGTTTTTATTTTGTTTTATAATTTTAGTTTTTTAATACTGGTAGCCAGATTTTGTTCATTTTCGTAGTTTCTACCTTTCTGTTGCAATTGTCCACATGTTTGTGGATTTCAATGGCTTCTCTTTGTAGTCTGACATGGTGGTTGTGAGAGTGGTCCAGCATTTCTGTGTTCTCAAGTAATATGCTGTGTCCAGGTTGGTTCATCAGGTGCTCTGCTATGGCTGACTTCTCTGGTTGAAGTAGTCTGCAGTGCCCTTCATGTTCCTTGATTCGTGTTTGGGCACTGTGAACCCCACTTCGTCCAAGATGAACTGAACCACCTAAACAGGGCTTTACAGGCCAATGGATACTTCACCACAGACATCAGAAGAGCTGCAAGACCAAGAACAAGCCACAAGAATAAAGACAATGATCCACTCAGAGGGAAAGTGTTCTTGCAATACATCACTACTGATCGCATTGGGAAGCTGATGAAAAGCACAACCTACAAACTATCTACAGACCCACCAAGAAAATTCAACAAATGCTACATTCAGCAAAGGACAAGAGGGATCCTCTCACTTCTGCAGGAGTCTACCGTGTACCATGCAGCTGTGGACAAGTCTACATAGGGACCACCAAACGCAGCCCAAACACGAATCAAGGAACATGAAAGGCACTGCAGACTACTTCAACCAGAGAAGTCAGCCATAGCAGAGCACCTGATGGACCAACCTGGACACAGCATATTATTTGAGAACACAGAAATGCTGGACCACTTCACAACCACCATGTCAGACTACACAGAGAAGCCATTGAAATCCACAAGCATGTGGACAATTTCAACAGAAAGGAGAAACCATGAAAATGAACAAAATCTGGCTACCAGTATTAAAAAACTCTAAAATTATAACAGTAAATAAAAAACAAAACTCAAACACAATAGAACTCCAGAGAAGAAACTATCAGGAACAGCTAATCACCTCTCAACAAAGAATTCCCCCAGTGAGTAAGAAGCCACACCTAAAAACTGTCAGGCCATCTAATGCTAATCAAGGTGGTCAACTGAAACATCCATGCCCAGCTCCAACAGACAAGGGTTATTTCTTCCACGCTTGACTTTCCACAGATATATAAAATCAATTTTCCTAGTTTCTAACAGACCTCACAACCTCTGAGGATGCCTGCCATAGATGCAGGCAAAACGTTAGGAGAGAATGCTTCTAGAACATGGTCATACAGCCCGAAAAACCTACAACAACCAGTGATTCTGGCCATGAAAGCCTTCGACAATACATAGGTTGTTTTCATTAAAGACTATTTTGCTAGAATGTGTTGTTGCTGCTGTGGTACTTGGCTAGCAATGCAAAATTAAATGTGCCCATGTTTTGGACATCTCTCTTCAGCCCTTTTGAATTAAATATGGGTTAAGGGAGAAATTCACAAAAACAAGCCTCCAGGCTTCCGCTTATTGGCTCTTCCTGAAAGGAGTCTGACATTAAGCAGATGTTCATTAGTGTCATTTGTAGATGGTTCCGTGGTGAGGTTATATCTGAGCTAGACACGGCCTCAGTTTTCTCTCTCACAGACACACCCTTCTGTCTCTGTTGTTTTGTGCAGAAATAATGCACCAAGACATTTTTATAGCACTCCTAGATCATTGCGCATGAACAGCCAAGTCTGTGGGAACTTTGTTTTTAGTGATCATCTTTCAGCAGCAAGTCACATTCCAGTAGCTCATTTCTCCATTTATGGAAGCAATACAGCAGAGTATTATTCAATGCTTAAAAGAGGAATTACGATATGAGAACTATGGCCCCTTCTACACTGCCATTGAAAATCCTGATTATCTGCTTTGAACTGGCATATATGGCAGTGTAGACTCATATAATCTGGTTCAAAGACAATAATGTGGATGATCTGTTTTAATAATCTGGATTATATGGCAGTGTAGAAGGGTCCTGTCCTGTTTCAAGTGTTTGGCTTGTAATTTCTTCTGATGGACCCCATTTCTTCCCATAAGAACCAGCACTTTTTAAAATTCTGGAATGAATTGGCAATTTTAAACTAGCCCAGATTTCTGTGATTCCTTTTGTCAATGCAGTTTCACATACTATTATCACAATGAATCCCAAGCTAACTGTGGTATTTTTTGGTGGTGTCTTGCTTACCACAGAAATGAAGTCTCATCTCCTCCTTCCTCAGGGCGGTTCCAGACAGGCAGTTATCCCAGGACTATTTGTGTTTTAAAAACGCAGATGTTCCTGGGGGCCTGTCCACACCCACCCCAGAAAGCATGCACTTTCTGGGGTGGGTGTCCAGATGCTTTTGTGGGACTGGCCCATGAGAACATCTGGAAGTCCTACCCCTCCCCCAAAGCCCCCAAACCTCTTTGAAAAGTAAAGAAAACTTACCCAGCCTCCAGTACACTCTTGTAGCAGCTCTCCCAGCATGTATAAAATTGATGCACCAGGAGAGCGGGGGGGGGGGGAGGAAAATCACTCCTCTCCCCCCACCCGCTCTCCTGGCGCATCATTTCTACAAACTGTGACTTCTTACTGCCTGGGGGTATCCTTTGTTGAAAAGTTATTAGTTTTCCCTGATTGTTTCTTGTCTGGAGCTCCCCTTGAAACCACACCTTGAAAACTGCTAGGCTATTAAATGCTAATCAAGGTGGCCAATTGAAACATTCACACCTACCTCAAACAGACAAGAGTTCTTTCTCCCACCCTGGACATTCCACAGATATATAAACCCAATTTTCCTAGTTTCCAACAGACCTCACAAACTCTGAGGATGCCTGCCATAGATGTGGGTGAAACGTCAGGAGAGAATGCTTCTGAAACATGGCCATACAGCCCGAAAAACTTACAGCAACCCAACATTCTTACTGCTTAGAATTCCTACCACATGCTTTTTGGCATCATTTGGAATATAAGATGTGATCGGAGTTTACCAGTCCTTTCTTGGAATAGGAAGGGTGGTATGTGATTATCCCGTAAAGATTTGAACATGTTCAGGGGAATTTTTAATTGTTGGAGGATATTTTATTTATTTCTTATCAAAAGCATTGCATAAATTAGTATAAAACTGATAAAAATAAAAGGAGCACTAGTGGCTAAATATCTTTTGACCAATAACAGGCAACAGCGACCGCATTGTCTGTAGCCTCAAACAATTCTTGCTCTGTATATGAGGCAGGACATGACCTGCATAGTTGTCTGTTCTGCTCCACATCACACAAGGTGGAGGATTCTTTTAGGTAGTGCCATTTTACCAGGTTGTCTTTTGATCTGCCCATTCCACTTCTGAGTCTGTTCAGGAACTTCCAAGTTGTCCATTCTTGATTTGCCCCTGGAGGTAGACGCTTATCCAATTGAGATTTCCTAGCTTAGCTCCCCAGGGGGATACTCTTGCTAGGGAAACGTTAAGAAGAGTGGTGCTTCTCATGAAGCTTTTCCTTGATTTGAGTCTACTGGGAGGAGGCTGATAGCCATGCAGTGGGTGGCTTTCACAGTGTTCAACCTTATTTCTCTGCGCATCAGGGGAGGCAATTCCAGCTAGCTTGTAGTTTATCAACAGGTGTAGGTTTAAGACATCCTGTGATTATTCTGTATGTTTCGTTCAATGCTATGTTTACCTGCCTCATGTGGGCAGACTTGTGCCAAGCAGGGCAGCCAGGTGGGAGTATTTGAACTGAAGGCTCCTGTTTTATGCTGCAACCCGTTTATCCATCTTTGTGTATGTTTGTATATTTGTTTTTGCAGACACATTGGTCCGCAGGATTTCCTTGACTGAAAAGTGATCTTTTCCCATCACAACCACCACCCAATCACCATGAAGGCATTTCTGGGACTCCTCCTCTTCTCTGTCTTCCTGGCTACAGGTATTGCATGGTGCCTCTCACTGGAAAAGGGATCGGTTTTGTTCTGTTACGGTCAAACAATGCTGCATGTGCAGCAGAGTTACAGCATTTTGATACCACTTCAGCTGCCCCTCCTTCATACCGCAGAACTCTAGGATCTGTTGTTTCATGATATATTTATATTTTTTGCATCTGTAGTTCAGGGGTGCATAAGAGCTCTCTAGAAGAAGTTATAAGCTATAAATATTGGGAAGGAACCATTTCTGAACTGTGATCTAGACATATCTGAGTCAAGATGTGTTTAGATCAGTGGTTCTCAATCTGTGGGTCCCCAGATATTTTGGCCTTCAACTCCCAGAAATCCTAACAGCTGGTAAACTGGCTGGGATTTCTGGGAGCTGTACGCCAAAACACCTGGAGATCCAAAGATTGAGAGCCAGTGGTTTAGATCTTGATCCATTTCTATTAGTGTTGCTCAGTTTTTGAGATACTAACACCAGACAACATTCTCTTATCCCCAGTCAGCTCAAGACTGATTGGTACATGTGAGGCAGACCTATATGAACCTCAAGTTTCATGAAAAGATTTGGGATCATGTGAAATTCCCTTTTCTGGTAAGACTTGAGGCAGGCCTTATATAAGAACTGGGACTGTGGCGTAGCTGGCTGGGAGTCAGCTGCATTAGATCACTACTAATCAAAAGGTCATGAGTTCGAAGCGAGCCCAGGTCAGAGTGAGCTTCGTTGTCGACCTTTGCAGCCCGAAAGACAGTTGCATCTGTCAAGTAGGAAATTTAGGTACTGCTTATGCAGGAAGGCAAATTTAACTAATTTACAACGCCTTAAAAATATCCAGCAAGCATGCAAAGAATGAGGAAGTACTCCATCAGTGTCAGAAATGGATGGTGAAGCAACAGTTCCCCTGGTGTCCAGAATACCCTCATGAAGCTGGAATGTTAAATGGCCTCTGTGTGTCTGTCTATATATGTTGTGTTTCTATGGCATTGAATGTTTGCCATGTATATGTACATTGTAATCCGCCCTGATTCCCCTGTGGGGTGAGAAGGGCGGAATATAAATACTATAAATAAATAAGTAAATAAGAAGAATTGACAGCAGCTAAACTCACAATAAGAAGACCCTTGTTTGTGACCATTTTGCTGTGGATCTAGTGCTATGGCGTGAGTTTATTAGTAGGATTGCCAAAGAGAAAACTGGTGAGGTTTCTTATACCTTAAATGGCTGCACGGAAAAAGTATTGCTTGTTGCCAGCTTGAGTAGCAACCAACATTTGCTGAATTTCCCTCTTGCATGCAACCCTTAAAGGTATAGGAAACCTCTAAGGGTTTTCACTCCGGCAAACCCTAGTTATAGGCAAGCTTGCGCCTACTTTCAGCTCTAGAAACGACATAGAGAGAAGCAGCTGAGGCACAATTTAAAGTTGTTCTGCATGGCTAACTGGGAAGGAAGAAGAGAAGCAATATCCCACCCATGATCTTGTAGGTGTCCCCTACTGTTCCCAGCATTACTTGCAACTATTTCTCTGCATATCAAATGCTTGGTTGTTGGTCTATGTTTCCTCCCTTTGAGATATCAGTTGAGCAAAGGTGCTTGGAACACATACAGCTCAGATAGAATAAGGCAAGTATGAAATACAGACACCAGAAGCAAACTCAGTCCCACTCTCTGGGTGAAAGACACCCCAAACACTCTGGAAACATGGAGCTAGATTTTAATTACTTTTCTATGCATGCCTCTGCCATGATTTCCATGGGTGTGCCTTGGCTCCTTGATTTGTTCATCTCCAGACAGCTAATGACCCACACAGCTTATCTCTCTTCATTGTGAATTACAACAGCCCATTGGGAATACATCATACATTAGACTTCAAACTACAGGAAAGTAGATTCCACCTGAACATTAGGAAGAACTTCCTGACTGTGATAACTGTTCAGCAGTGGAACTCTCTGCCCAGAGTGTGGTGGAGGCTCCTTCTTTGGAAGCTTTTAAACAGAGGTTGGCTGGCCATCTGTCGGGGGTGCTTTGAATGAGATTATTCTGCTTCTTGGCAGGGGGTTGGACTAGATGGCCCATGAGGTCTCTTCCAACTCTGACGATGCTAGATGGATTATGGATTTATGAATTGGTGAACATTGACCACAAGATGATTTTATTGCTGCTATTGTATTGTTTTGATTGTTTTAACTAGTTATAACTGTTGACGTTATATTGTAATTTGTAATTTGTATATTGTATTTTGTGAATTGTTGGGCATCGAATTGTGCCTTTTGTAAGCCGCCCTGAGTCCCCCCTAGGGGGTTGAGAAGTGCGGGGTAGAAGCACCCCAAATAATAATAATAATATCTCAATGATTCTATGACATCTACTCACACCAAACCAAGAAATACAGGATCTGGCATGAAAATGGAGAGGATCTCTATACCTTTACAGTGGTGCCAAAGAGGGAATTCAATAGCATGACACCTGTTGAAATTCTTTCTTTTCTACACCATTCAAACTGCAACCCTACGCACAATCCTAATGCTGGATTTCAGCCCTAGGCATAGTTTGTCTCCCACAGGATAGGACAACAGGAGATTCACAAAACCTTTGAGTGGAGATTATGAGATCGGATTCTATGGTCAACTTTTGCTGGATGTTCTACCAGTTGACCATAGGCATTCTTGGAAAGAATACTTCTCTAGGCATTTTCTAGATCCTCCATCTTTTTGTATGTGTCAGGAGTGACTTAAGAAACTGCAAGTGTGAGAGAATTGGCCATCTGCAAGGATGTTGCCCAGGGGACGCCCAGATGTTTTACCATCTTGTGATTCTATGGTATGCTTCATCAAGAAACCCAAGACATAGATAATTTCAGGTAAGAAAACTAGCTCCATCGTATGTGAAAATGGTTTACATGAAGGACCCTGAAAGGGAATACTAGGATATGTAGATCTACTGTAGTTTTAAATTAATGCACCAAGGTAGTGACTGACTTTATCTCATATTGACAATGACATGTCATTCCCCCTCTCCCCCTTTTTAGGTGCTGGGTTGCATTGTGAAACATGTTTTACAGCAGGTGACACTTGTTCTGGCAAGCAAGAAGCATGTCCTTCTAGTTCAGATGTCTGCATCGCTATGGTGACTGAAATGAAATCAGGTGAGTTGAGGGGATTTACCAGGTCATAACGTCCAAAATTTGATTGGTTTCTTAAACCTCCTCCTATGGAAATAGCTCGCTAATTTTGTCCAGTATGGAGCATCCTTATTCAGTTCAAGGTCAGGGAAGCAAAATGGCATGTGTAATGCTGATGCTTACAAGAGTGAGCACATTATGGTGCATTCCAGGGTGCTTTGAGCTGCACAATCGGCTACTTCAGCACTAGCTTAGTGTAGCACAATGAACACATGACTTCACCCACAAAGACTTGGGACCTCATCAGACCATCACATAACACAAGGCAACTTCTGGTGGTTGCCTATGAGAACAGGGCCTCCCTGGATGGTCTTAAGCTCCTAGATAGTTCATAGAAGGAGATATGTTTGCAAAGGTAAGCTGGGCCAGAACCAATTAGAGCTTTATGGGCTAAAGCTAGCACTTTGAATTGTGCCCAGTAGCAGATTGGCAGCCAGTGGAGCTGGTGTAACAGGGGAGTTGTGTGCTCCCTGTACCCTGTTCCAGTGAGCAGTCTTGCTGTCACCTGTTAGACCAATTGGAGCTTCCGAACAGTCTTCAAAGGCAACCCTATGTAGAGCGCATTGCAGTAATCTATATGGATGTAACAAAGAGTGTGGACTGCCATGGACAAGTCTGACTTCCCAAGGTACAGGAGCAGCTGGCGCACAAGCTTTAATTGTACAAAAGATCCCTTGGCCACCGTTAAAACTTGTGCGCCAGTTGCGCCCATACCTTGGGAAGTCAGATCTGGCCACAGTGGTCCACGTTCTTGTTACATCCCGAATAGATTACTGCAACACACTCTACATGGGATTGCCTTTGAAAACTGTTTGGAAACTACAATTAGTCCAGCGGGCGGCGGCCAGATTACTCACCGGAGCGTCATACAGAGAACATACCACCCCCCTGTTATGCCAGCTCCACTGGCTGCTGATCTAGTTCCAAGCACAATTCAAAGTGCTGGTTTTGACCTACAAAACCCTATACGGCTCAGGCCGAGCATACCTGTCCGAATGCATCTCCTTCTATGCCCCGCCTCAGAGTTTAAGATCTTCTGGGGAGGCTCTGCTCTCGGCCCTGCCTCTATCACAAGTGAGGCTGGCGGGAACGAGGAGTAGGGCCTTCTCAGTGGTGGCCCCTCGCCTGTGGAGTTCGCTTCCCGGGGAAATTAGGTCATCAACATCCCTCCTCTCTTTTAGAAGGAAACTATAAACTTGGATATGGGACCAGGCTTTTGGGTAATCTGGCAGATAGACAAAGGACAATGACAACCAGAATTGATAGGACTTGACAATGTGGAATGAACTTACGGATTCTGAGCTTGGCGAACGTTGTACATTAGATTGATTTTATTAATTGTGATGTATAACTGGATTGTTTTTAACTGTTTTATATTGTTGTGGATACGTGTTTTATTTTATAATCTGTTTTGTCGGCATCGAATTGTGCCTTTTGTAAGCCGCCCTGAGTCCCCCCTCAGGGGTTGAGAAGGACGGGGTAGAAATGCGCTAAATAAATAAATAAATAAATAAATAAATAAATAAATAAAGAAAGCCTGGGGTTCCAGACTCAGCAATGAATCTGGGATCACTCCCAAGCTGCAAACCTGTGTCTTCAGGGGGAGTGTAACCCCATCCAACACTGGCTGTAACCCTATAACCTGTTTGGCCTTAGGACTGACTAGGAGTGCCTCTGTCTTGTCTGGATTCAATTTCAGTTTGTTTCCCCTCATCGAAACTGTCACAGTGGACAAGCACCAGTTCAGGATCTGAACAGCCTCCTTAGCAGTAGGTGGAAAGAAGTAGTAGCATCTACACTACAGAAGCCCTCTTCCTTGCAGTAATAGCAGGAAGGTCCTTAGATAACATGGTTGTGTTGTGATTGTTCTATAAAGCTTTGCTAGATACCTTGTAGCATAGTAGGGAAAGGATGGGGTAGAAAATGCATGGATGAATTGATTTGGTTCACAGTAAATACGGTAAAGGTAAAACTTTTCCCCTGACATTAAGTCCAGCTGTGTCCAACTCTGGGGGTTGGTGCTCATCTCCATTTCCAAGCCAAAGAGCCAGCATTATCCATAGATACCTCCAAGGTCATGTGGCCAGCATGACTGCATGGAGCACTATTACCTTCCCGACGGAGCAGTACCTATTGATCTACTCACATTTGCATGTTTTCAAACTGCTAGGTTGGCAGAAGCTGGGACTAACAGTGGTAGCTCACTCCTGCTCTCTGGATTTGAACCTGCGACCTTTCAGTCAGCAAGTTCAGCAGCTCAGTGGTTTAACCCACTGCGCTATAAGCCTGGATTATATTGTCCATCTCTCTCTCTCTCTCTCTCTCTCTCTTGTTACATCTAGGAGGAGCAAGCTTTACAACTGCTGTGAAGGGATGTAACCAGAAATCTGAGTGTCGAAGATTACAGGGAGAAGTGGGGAAGCCTGTTTCCGCACAATTTATGAACCTTCAAGCTGGATCTGTTATTAAAAGTGTGGTGTGCAACAAGGCCTCCGCCTCTTCTACATCCCTCCTGTTGGCCATCTTTACTCTCCTGCTGAAGAAGTTCCTCCTCTAAAGCATCTTGCATCTGAGTCAGCTAGGAAAAGCTACTCTTTATCATCTGCATGTGTGCAGTTTTCTTTGAAGCTTTCAGTGTTATGCTTATCACTTACATTTTACTCAATGGGGGTAAAATAAAAATCAAATTATAAAAAATGAAATTCAGTTATTGTCTGCTACTGTTCATTTAGGGGTGAGAGGCAAGAAATATAATGTAATATATGGAAAGAGTTTACTCCTCCTACTCCAATTGGCTTGATATTAGATGCAAAAATGTATGTGTTCATCAAATTATAGGATCACAGATTTGGAGGAGACCACAAGGGTCATCCAGTCCAACCCCAGAACGTCCAGTTCAACCCCCTATCATGCAGGAACATAGAATCAAAGCTTCCTCAACAGATAACCATCCAGCCTGTGCCTAAAAACCTCTAGAGAAAGAGACTCAGCCATGCTTTGAGGCAGATTTGGGCAACTATGCAATGCCTAAACTGTGATTCCCAAATGAATTTGTCTGATTCCTGGATTGTTTGGATTTGTTCCAGGACCAAGGTGTAATGAAATAGGTCTTGCTGTTTTCTTAGGCCATGTTTCAGGCATTCAGCAATGTTGGTTGTGTAAGAAATAATTCTAATGATACGTGTGTGTGTGTGTGTGTGTGTGTGTGTGTGTGTGTGTGTTTGTGGGATTAACATAACTAAAAAAACCACTGGATAAATTGACACCAAATTTGGACACAATACACATATCAGACCAACGAGTGACCATCACTCATAAAAACACAGCAGAAGAGACTTAAAAATAAATAATACATTAGAATGCATTTGCAAAACCACATATATACACATATGCACAAACATATACACACATATACACATACACAAAACACATATAGACTGACTGGGTCACAGCAACGGGTGGCAGGGGACAACTAGTTTATACACTCACACTCAGTAGAATAGGGATAAATAGAAATGATATAATAATCTATAGAGAAGGAGTTTCCATTAAAAGTGCCTTTAGTCTGTTACCTATGATAGAGAATAGGTGACAGGTTATAGGAATGGCAAATGTTACACAGGCATCCCACAGAAATAATAATTGATATTCAAAACAGGCAAAACAAAGGAAGAAATTAGAGTTGAATAAAAGTAGGCTGTTAATGCTGGAAGAATTGAAGACTTAAAGACTGATGAGATTGGTCACATAGAATTGAGATAATTAAAATCAAATTGGGGAGTGGGGAGGAGATAAATGTGCAGCTTTGCCAAAGGACACTGATGAAACTCAAGATACAGCAATGAGGTGGCTCTGTGTTAGCGGAAATGTGATTGGTCAAAGGCTCTTTTGACAATGCTTCTGAGTTCTGACATGATCCAAGAGGGATGCATCATGGAGAAAGGGGGGATTTCGATGTGAACTTCACTGTATTGTGTATTATTTTGTAAAAAACACCTACCTGCAGGTAATTTTATAAAATTTGCTGCTTCACCAACATTTTCTCGTCTAGAGTTTTATTAATCATAGGCTCTAAGGGGCCAGTTATAACAGTAGGATCAAGATCTCATTCAAAGTCATTGGCAAAGGAAATCAATGTTCTTATTTTTGAGGTTTTTAGGAAGCTGGTTTAGTCCTGGAAACTGCTGAGATTCCAGCGACTGGCTTTGATTCTCACCTCCACGTACCTCAGCCATGAAGACTAAAATCCAAAGTTGTGACAAAATGAAAATGATGCATAGCTCACTTTTGATCAGCTTACAGACTGCCTTCCAAAGAAAGGAAATATGCCACACAGATGATCAATAAAGAACAAGTAGTTTACTCTTCATAATTCAGAACAGCATATTTACAATCATATGATCAGTTGTATCGACTCACATAATGCCCTTTTATGATATATTTAAAATGGTCTTTCTTTGTCCATGTGGATAAACTCCTTCAAGCAGCTCATGAAGCAAGAACACACTCCAAAACTCTCTCTGTGCTGCACTCTCTGCTTTTCTCCAAGCACCTGCATAGCTCAAGCCTGATAAAAGTAACAGTACCCAAAAGTCCCAGGCTCAGCTGGCTCCCCAGGCATAGCTTAACCAATCAGCTTCCTGCATCTTATTTTACAGCTGACTCAACAAACACTTAACTGATTTCTTACATGCTCCAACAAGATGCAGAGCCATAACTTGAGGTGCATCTACACTGTAGAATTAATGCACTCTGACATCATTTTGATGCTATGGAATCTTAGGATTTGTAGTTTGGTGAGGCACCAGCAGAGAAGGCTAATGAACTTTTAAAACTACAGCATCCATGATTCCATAGCATTGAGTTTTCTTGGCTAGATTTATTCATAAAACATTTTCCATTGCCTCTCTCTAAGAGCGTGACTTGCCCAAAGTCACATAGTAAGTTTCCAGGGCTTTTGGGGGATCCAATTTTTTGAGTCATACTCCAACTCTTGAACCACCACACCAAGATGTCTCCCAAAGAAGAGGCAAATGGGCTTCAAAGGTAATGACATTTGCTCCTTTGGGATGGCCAAATGAAAGTGTTGCTTCGGACTTTGGATTGTGTTTTACTTTTTTTTTTCAAAATCAAAGCCCATACTGTAACTTTGGGATGACCAGTTTCCAAGCAGATTTATATTTCATAAGATTGTTAATGTCCCAGATGGATAATAATGCTTGAAGCAAACCAGATGATTGAACACAAGTTGGACTCTGTCTGTGGATTCAAATGAGACAACCTGTTCTGTCGTGCGCTGGGCCCGTAAATAGTTGTCTTTAAAACAGGACGTGCAACCTTTGCCCAACGGGAAGCCAGGGGGCCCAAAGAGAAGTTCTCAGAGGTTTCCACCACAAACAGTCTTTAGATGGCTTGAGAAGTACAACAAAGTCTTTTATTAATGAACAATCAAACAGAAACTTCTCTTGTCTTCAGTAAAGTTAAGCAAATGATTCCAAGCTTTTAGGTAACTGGTGAATTCCTAATCTTGCCCACGAAGGACAGGCAACTGTCTTCAATAACTTCTTCTTTAAAGGAAAATCCCCTTTTTAACTTCTCCCAGGCTGACTGTAATCTAACCCTTACTGATGTGGGCTCCGCTACCGGGTCGAACTGCGTCTTGAACGCCGAGTGGACCTACCAGCAAGGCAGTAGATGTTCTCCAGCTGGAGTTCTTTAGTCTTTAGGGCTGTTTTCCTGGAAATTCTTTCCCTGGAAAATTCTTAAAGGTTGAAGCTTTTGTACAGGGGAAGTTTACACACGTCCTGTACATTGGTTAACCTTGCTGAGACTAACTAAAAAATGGCTCCCTTCCCTTCCCAAGTTGCCCTGAGCAAGGGGCGGGACCAAAACTTAACAATGATGGACAGGTGACTTGCCCTATCACTGCAACCAAAGGAAGCCACCTATCTGCAGAGTCCCTGAAACCCAGGGTGCAAGCAAATATTAAACACAAAGCAAATAAAATTGGAGCTCCTGGTACAGTTGTACCAGAACACAAGCATTAGAACAATGTTTCTCAACCTTCCTAATGCCACGACCCCTTAATACAGTTCCTCATGTTGAGGTGACCCCCAACCATAAAATTATTTTCGTTGTTACTTCGTAACTGTAATTTTGCTACAGTTATGAATCCGAATGTAAATATCTGATATGCAGGATGTATTTTCATTCACTGGACCAAATTTGGCACAAATATCGGATACACCCAAATTTGAATACTGCTGGGAGGGGGGTGATTGATTTTGTCATTTGGGAGTTGTAGTTGCTGGGAGTTATAGTTCACCTACAATCAAAAAGCATTCTGAACTCCAACAATGGAACTGAACCAAACTTGGAACAACGAACTCCCATGACTAACAGAAAATGCTGGAAAGGTCTGGTGGGCATTGACCTTGAGTTTTGGAGTTGTAGTTCACCTATACCTGGAGAGCACTGTGGACTCAATCAGTGATGGATTTGGACCAAACTTGACACAGATACTCAATATGCCCAAATGTGAACACTAGTTGAGTTTGGGGAAAACAGACCTAGACATTTGGGAGTTGTAGTTACTGGGATTTGTAGTTTACCTACAAGCAAATAGCATTCTGAACCCAACCAATGAGAGAATTGGGCCAACCATCCTGCACAGAACCCCAATGACCAACAGAAAAGACTGTATTTTCTGATGGTTTTTGGCGACCCCTCTAACACTCCCTCGTGACCTCCCCCGGGGGTCCCAACCCCCAGGTTGATAAACACTGCATTAGAACATGGAAAAGGGGCATCGTTTCCTCTGTGTTCTCAACCCTTAACATTCACACTTTGCCTGTATTTTTCCTATACAGTAGAGTCTTGCTTATCCAACACAAATGGACCAGCAGAACCTTGAATAAGCAAAAATGTTTGATAATAAAGAGGGATTAAGGAAAAGCCTATTAAACATCAAATTACGTTATGATTTTACAAATTAAACACCAAAACATCATGTTTTACAACAAATTGACAGAAAAAGCAGGTCAATACATGGTAACGTTATGTAGTAATTACTGTATTTACGAATTTAGCACCAAAACATTGCAATGTATTGAAACAGCTGTGGATCTGAACGGGAGGCAAACTGCGTTGGATAATACAGAATGCTGGATGAGAGAAGGTTGGATCAGGGAGACTCTACTGTATATATTTTAAATGAAGCAAATGTTGTATGCAGAAATTTAAAAAAGATATCCCTTTTTCATGATATTACCACCAAGTCTAGAGTAAATTCATGGAGAAGGGCAGTGAATCCACACCCAATATCACTCAACCCTCCTGGTGCTGTGGTTTAAAGATGGGTGTGGAAAGATTTGCCTTTTAGTGTGGGTTTGTATCTGTATTACACAAGTTCCTATTACACAAAAAGCAGAAGTGTATATTGGTCCATTATTCATTTGATTTACAACCCACTGTCTCCAAGGGCTGGGATGCAAGGTATTTCCCAACATTATTAGGTAAAGGTAAGTTTGCAATAAGAAGCCCAACATTGTGTCAGATACTTTGCATTATACACATGGATGATTTGTGTGTGCAGATACTCTGCACACACAGCTCTCATTTTTGGTTTTAGGCAGCTAGGTTCTTCAGTGCAACTCTATGATTATTTTGAGACTGGGGGTTTGCTACTATTTGTAGTTTTGCACAAAGTCTGGATTCTGAGGTTATACGATATTGTGTAAATGTTCTATCTTTGGACAATAAAGGAACTGATGCTGTATAGTGGATAAACTATGTATTTTATAGAACTATATTTTAATATAGATATTTATAAAAACAATCGCAATATTTGTGTGGTTTGACTGTGCTGTGACCCCCCTCAAGCTACGAGGAGAGGTGGGTAAGAAATAAAATTAGGTTCTTGTGGGTTTTTGGGCTATAGGGCCATGTTCTAGAGGCATTTCTCCTGACGTTTCGCCTGAATCTATGGCAAGCATCCTCAGAGGTAGTGAAGAGAGTCAAGACAAAGATCCACCCAGAGGAAAAGTGTTCTTGCCATACATCAAGGGAACCACTGACCGCATTGGGAAGCTGATGAGGAAACACAACATACAAACTATCTACAGACCCACCAAGAAAATCCAACAAATGCTACGTTCAGCAAAGGACAAGAGGGATCCTCTCACCTCTGCAGGAGTCTACCGTATACCATGCAGCTGTGGACAAGTCTACATAGGGACCACCAAACGCAGCATTGCCCAAACACGAATCAAGGAACATGAAAGCACTGCAGACTACCTCAACCAGAGAAGTCAGCCATAGCAGAGCACCTGATGAACCAACCTGGACACAGCATATTATTTGAGAACACAGAAATGCTGGACCACTCTCACAACCACCATGTCAGACTACACAGAGAAGCCATTGAAATCCACAAGCATGTGGACAATTTCAACAGAAAGGAAGAACCATGAAAATGAACAAAATCTGGCTACCAGTATTAAAAAAAACTAAAATTACAACAGCAAAACAGCAGAGAGGAAACAACCAGGCAAATCTTAACACCTCTCAACAAAAGATTTTCCCAGGCTCAGCCAGGCCTTCAAATGCTAATGAAGGTGGTCAGTTGAAACATTCACACCTAGCTCCAGCAGAGAAGAGCTCTTTGCCCCACCCCAGCCATTCCACAGATATATAAACCCATTTCCTAGTTCCAACAGACCTCACTACCTCTGAGGATGCTTGCCATAGATGCAGGCGAAACGTCAGGAGAAATGCCTCTAGAACATGGCCCTATAGCCCGAAAAAACCCACAAGAACCTAGTGATTCCAGCCATGAAAGCCTTCGACAATACAATAAATTGTTGTTTCTGTTTCCTATAAAAAGACAGCTACTGATACAAGGCGTGTCATCTTCCTTTTTTCTTTAATGTGGACTCATTTGTGGTTTATTGAGTGGAGCTGAGTGTACAGTTAAAATGCATTTAAAAACACAAAGTTTTTTTAAAACTTGGCATTATGCTAAATGTCCTTTGACTAGAAGCTGGCCACTTGGAGTTACTCTGGTGTTGCTGTGAGAAGGTCCTCCCTATTGTGTATATGGCAGAGCTCAGGTTGCATTGTAGTAGGTGGTTTATGGTTTGCTCTTCTCCACACTTGCATGTCATGGATTCCACTTTGTAGCCCCATTTCTTAAGATTGGCTCTGCAACTTGTGGTGCCAGAGTACAGCCTGTTCAGCACCTTCCAGGTTGCCCAATCTTCTGTGTGGCCAGGAGGGAGTTTCTCATCTGGTCTCAGCCACTGATTAAGGTGCTGGGTTTTAACCTGCCACTTTTGGATTCTTACTTGCTGAGGTGTTCCTGTGAGTATCTCTCTCAATCTTGGGAGGCTGTTATTTCATTTAAGCTGTTGGCATGCTGGCTGATGACTGAACAGAGGATGGGTCAAAGATGTCACTGCCTTGGTCCTTTCATTATTGGTTACTACTTCCTGACGAATGTCAGATGACACAATACTAGCTAAATATTAATAAATATTTGTGCAGTTGCATAAGAAGGAAGGAGAGAAATATACATGGATTCTGGGGTGACAAATTGTCTGGATGGTAAAAAAAAACATGGGAATTTATAAAATTCAAAAGTGGAAGAAAATGTGCCCCATCCGTTTTCAAAGCCAAGCAAATGTCTAGCTTCAGAGTTACAAGCTTTGCCTTGTAACTGTTCTGTGCATTCCATTATTGTCATTATTAGAGGGCCATGCGGCATGAATTTTGCTGGTATGCTTCCCCAGTCAGCTTACATTCTTGGTTCAAATTGCTGCAACTGAAAAACAAACAAGGCCTGTATGGATGATGAAGCTATTTCTCCTTGCTCACAATGCAATTTCGAGAAAAGGAAGCGAAGGCTCCATTGTCCCCAAACCCTTGTTGTCCCATTTTCCTTTTGTGCTTCTATGGGATCTTAAGGAAGATGGGTCAAGCCTCTCATGTAAATCAGTCAGGGGTTTTTAAGCAAATTGAACTGGCATGTGCGATGCTGTGGATCACAGAGTATGACGTCGTTTCCATACCGGCTGCAAGCTCTGCCGTATCTCTGAAACCCAGCTGGGACCATTTCGTTTGAAAGCTTGGTCATGAAAGCCAAAGCATATAAAAGCCAGCAGTGATTCAAAGTGGGATATGGCTGAAAAGCAGTCTGTGGTTTTCCTTCATCAGTGAGCAGCATTTTGTGAGCTGCATCCCATCCTTCAGCCTATGTCTCAGGGTTGTAACAGAACAGAAGCAATTCTGGCGTTCTCAGCAAGTCCTACCTTGGAGATCTGATAAGCCTTACCTTGTTGTATCCTGTGCCTGGGAATAAGGTGGAAGAGAGGGGAGATTTTGATAACACCTTTCCCCTTCTTGCAAAACCTATTCTTTCCTTCATCCCTTCTGGAAAACACCCACAATTACATCAAACAGAGGCAGCGGCGTCTTTGCAACCCGCACTTCCAAAGAAGGTCACCTGGTCAAATCTCACATTGATCCCTTTTAGCCTCCACTCCAGGTTCTCAGCAAACTGGTGAGTACCGTTGAGCTACACTTTGGGTTTATTATTATGGGATGGTGGCAGCCTTGCCTGCCCATTGCACATCGCCCTTGAAAAGATGTTTTTCCCAGAATGATTGTCTCATCTGCTTCAGGCATAGTGTATGACACTCCCAAATTAGTGGATTTGTTCCAGGCCCTTGTTCTTGCTATAATCCCAGATTATCTCTTTGTTGTCTTGGCATTGACAGGGGAAAACTTTATTTATTAGTATTATTAGTATTGTAGCAGGTTTTTGTAACCAGTTATTTCACAAGAATAAAGTGTTGTTCTCCTTTTATTTTTTCCTTCGGCGTTTGATAGAGTTGTAATGCTATCTAAGGTCCAAGTCTCTTGTAATCATTGCTTTGGGCATGGTTTCTGCTACTTGTGCTTTTAATCTGTTTTTCATTTCATCTTGCAAGCTATTTTCACTTTCAGCTGTGGAGAAGTGGATGAGAGAACAGAACTGAAAGCAATCTTTGGGTGTGTCCACAATGCAGAGTTATAGCAATTTGATACCACTTTAACACCCACTGTTCTTCGCTTCAGGATTCTGGGATTTGCAGTTTTGTAGTTATCTTTGCACATGTCCTCAGGCAACATTTTAGCAATTTTGTTACCAGTGTATATATCATGGCTGTTTCTTATAGAAACCTGGGATTTGTAGTTTTATAGTTATCTTTAGGTGTACCCGCAGAACAAAGCAGTTTGACACCACTTTGTGTACCATAGTGCCATCATATTAAAAGCTTGCAATTTGTAGTTTTCTGCGGGAATAAAAATGGTCTTTAAGAGAACTCTGATAACTTATCAAAGTACAATTTCCAGAATTCTGTGGGAAAGACTTGAGCCGGTTGACCTGGTATCAGTCTAATTAGACTTGGGGTGCATCTACATTGTAGAATTAATGCACTCTGACACCACTTTAACTGCCATGGCTCAATGTATGGAATATTGGGATTTGTAGTTTGGGGAGGCACCAGCAGAGAAGGCTAAAGATTTTGTAAGACTACAAGATGGATATATTGAGCAGTATTGCTATAATTTCACCATAATTGGATGTGTCAAGCAAGATAATATTTGCTCCCTTTGGAACTAATATGGCCCTTGGAGAGATCTGGGGAAACAATTTCCCAAGTTTCACACCTGATGGAGGCAGGTTCTCAGGTGAGTAGGGAACACCTAAGGAGTATATTACTAATTTAAATGTGAGCAGGGAACACCTAAGAAGTATATTGCGAATTGCAGGTATGCAAAATCAGAGACCTGTTGATGTTACGATATCTTTTTCCAATATTTCCCAGATGAAACTGGGAGACATCTGCCCAAACAACATCAGTGTGTGATCAACATGAAAAAAGTAATGAATCCAAAAGGACGCACAAGCTAGGAGAGGCTTGCTTTTGCCTGAGTCTTCTCTTTTCCCCTCTTGAGTTCATTGAGTGCAAACTACTTTTGCACTTTGACGTCTGCAGGAGTTTTAGGAGAAAGTGGAACAAGGAGAGAGAAACCGGGACATTTGGGAAGCCGATGAAAAAGGTGGGGTGACAGAATGAATCAGGAGTCTCTCTGCCATCTTTGGGCTCTGGACTATCTCTGGATCTCAGACCAACATTCAGTTAGTTTGAATGCATCTACACCAGGCCTGGGTAAACTTGGGCCCTCCAGGTGTTTTGGACTTCAACTCCCACAATTCTTAACAGCCAGTAGTGGGAGTTGAAGTCCTAAACACCTGGAGAGCCCAAGTTTGCCTAGGCCTGATCTACACTATAGAATTACTACAGTTTGTCCCCAGTCCCACTGCCATGACTCAATGTTTTGGAATTTTGGAGTTGTAGTTTCGCAAAGCCTTTTTCCAGAATGCTAGTGCTTCGACAAACTTCAATTCCAGGAATCCATAGCCTTTGGCCAGTTAAAGGGGGAGCAAGCTGTATAATTCTATAGTATAGATGCTCCCTTAGTTGCAAGGGTAGCTCAGCAAATGACATTACCAGCGGCATAAATACGAAATTCCAACCATGGGCCGAGTTTGTTTTCTCAGATACTGAGTGCCAGAAGATTGAGCAAGGTCTTGGTTTTAATTGTTCATAAAAACAATTGTTTTCCTTTCTTCAAAGCAAGCAAACAAGAAAAACCCTATTTGATGTTCTGTCATTGAGCCAATAGCAGCTCTTGTAAGCTCAAAGAAAAAATGTCATATGGTGAGAAGTCTTTGAAGATGTATTCCAGAAGTCTAGAGCAAAATGGGCTTGTAGAACAAATGGGGCGGGGAATCTCATGGGTTTGAAAGGAAATAGCCTTCCCTTTGGCTGTCTTATTATTGCAAAATAAGCTCAGGGAAGCCAATCTTCATTGTACTCCCAGGAAACTTCTCAGTATTTCTTCTCAGGGTGGGTGGGAATTAAAAAAGCATTGCTTCTTCATACATATGTGGGAGGGGAAAGAACTTAGAATCATAGAATCATAGAGTTGTAAGAGATCTAGTGGACCAACCCCCTGCCTAGAAGCAGGAAAATCACATTCAAAACACCTCCGACAGATGGCCATCCAGCCTCTGCTTAAAAGCCTCCAATGAAGGAGCCTCCGCCACACTCCAGGGCAGAGAGTTCCACCACTGAAGAGCTCTCACTGTTAGGAAGTTCTTCCTCATGTTCAGGTGGAATCTTCTTTCCTGTAGTTTTAAGACATTGTTTCATGTCCTATTTATTTATTTATTTTATATCAAATATTTCCATCCCATCCTTCTCAACCCGCGAGGTGGGGACTCAGGGCAGCTTACAGATGGCAGCTATTAGATGCTGACGATAGTATCAATCACATTACAAAACAAATTGACAATTAGGAGAACAACAGGATTACAAATATACATTAAAAATATTAAAAACGTTAAAAAATTGAAACATTAAAAAAACACCAAGCCCAAATCACAAATCCAAATCAAAGTCCAGAGTTCCAGTCTGATGTTTATTCATAGTTAATTCTCGTCAGTCAATTGCTGTTACTGCTCGGCGAGCTGCCCAAATGCTTGCTCCCAGAGCTGTGTTTTGACCTTTTTATATAAAGGAGAGGAGTGAGGGAGTCACCGGGGAATGTGTTCCATAGGTGGGCCACCACGGAAAAGGCCCTGTCCTTTGTCCCCACCAACCGCGCTTGTGAGGGTGGCGGGATCAAGAGCAGGGCCTCCCCTGATGATCATAAACTCTGAGGTGGATCGTAGAGGGAGATACATTTGGACAAGTAAGCTGGGCCAGAATCGTATAGGATGTCCTAGTCTCCAGAGCAGCAGAAAACAAGTTTGCTCCCTCCTCCTGTGACTTCCCCTCAGATATTGATACATGGCCCTCATCATGTCTCAGCCTTCTCTTCTGTCACTCCTCATAGGGCTTGTTCTCCAGATTTGAGGAGGTATTGGGTGGGGACTGGGGAGAGCACACAGGGTCTGGAATTCATATTTGGAGACACAATAGTCTCACCTTGCCCTTACGCATTATGCCCCTGGTTGCAGCTCTGAAGGATACCAAATTATGAAAACTTACCCCAAAGGAAGAATTTACAGGTGTACAATGTCTCTTTAAAATTATTTTATAGCTACTGTATATGTTGACCTCATGTATAAATCGAGAGTGGCCAAAACGATGGGTTTTTATGTGACCTGTGGATAAGTTTAGGGTTCTTTCTGTGGAGAGGGAAAAGTGCCAGTTCTAGTTCAGCTGGTCAGCTGCCCCTGGTATTTAAAAAGGCCAGAAGCGGTAGTGGAATTCAGTGCTCTTGAGTTTTCTTGGAACGGACTACATTCTCACCCTTTCCGACCCTACTCAGAAAAGGAGAGGTTTCCTTTTTAAGAAGAGTCAAAGTGCAATGCTTACATTGGCTCATGGATAAGTCAACCCAGATTTTTTGTTTGTCAACAGTTTCTGGACACATCCAAGAGTCTATATGGTATATTGTATATTTATAAGAAGCTATCTATTATACATGGCTCACCAGGCAGGGAGACAAGGCTTCTGATAGGAAGTCATTTCAGGAGCTGCAAATTAGGAAATGCCGTTTGGAAACAAATATTTGTATTGCTACACCCAGGTTCCTGGAATAATCTATTAAGGAAGGCAAGCTCAACCACTCCTTTCTATCAACAGTCAAAAGCTGGTGTTTTATATCAAAGCAGAGTTCTTGCAAGAACAGGGAGGTGACATTGGCTGGTTTAATGTTGCTGTTCTCTTCTTATTGTTGTGTTTTTAATTGTGCGGTGAAATTTCTTTTTTAATATTTAAACTATGTGTGTTCTCAATTTGGTATCACCACTGTGCCATCTGTAAGTGGAACACTGGCACATATATTGAAGAAGAAAATGCACATTTTTGGCGTACCATCTGATGCTATAGCATTTAGAGTTCTAGGAATTGAAGCCTTTTGGTTGAGTCATGCAGATAGAAGGCTTCTCTTCTGGAGGTTACATTGAATGATGAAGAAAATAAGAGGATGTCCTATTCAATCATCTACAGGAGAAGATGTTGGCTTAGCCTTGCACAGTGGGTACTTAGATTTTGCTGGAGTCTAGAATTGGTGGGGACAAGAGACAGGGCCTTCTCTGTGGTGGTCCCTCAGCTATGAAATCCATTCCTTCCCTCCTGACCTTCCAGAAAAAGGTGAAATCCTGGCTGTGGGATCAGTCCTTTGCAGATTAGACCAACATGATGGTAGAGCTATGGTTTAATTTATTTATTTATTTATTTATTTATTTGACTTGTATACCGCCACTCCCAATTTGGCTCGGAGCAGTTTACAGCAGTAGATTAAAACAATATAACCAACTTTAAAATACAATAAAAACAAGAGCAGACATAGTCCCGAGTTATTCACTCATCGAAAGCTTGTCGGAAAAGAAAGGTTTGGACTCTGATGGACTCAAATGGACTGTGTGTAGGAAGACGATTCTGGCGATTGTTCTAATGTTTTACTGTTTTTATGATGTTTTAATAATGTTTTATACTGTTTTTACCTAAGATGTATATTATGCTTTTGTTGTCAGCCGCCCTGAGTCCCTCTGCGGAGGTCGAGATAGGACAGGATATTATTTATTTATTTATTTCAAAGTTTTCTATACCGAGCTTCTCACCTCTTAGAGGGACTCAGCCCGGTTTACAACCATAAAAACATACATTCAGTAAAATATCGTAATTCATAATTACAATAACACATTTAAAATAACAACAATATTCAAAACTACGGTGGTCATATAAATGTATAAAATAAATACAAATTGTGAAAAAATTAAAATATTTAGGGATCACCTTAACAACAACAAAATTACAATTGTTACAAAACAACTTCATAGAAACGTGGAAGAAAATAAAGAAAGATCTGGAAAATTGGAAAAGTTTAAACCTTAGTTTACTGGGGAGAATCGCAACTGTAAAGATGAAAATCTTACCAAAGATGATCTTTTTATTTCAAAATCTACCAATAATAAGAAATCAAAAAATGCTAAAAGAATAGGATAGAGATATTATGAAATTCATATGACAATAGAAAAAGCCAAGAATAAAATTTAAAAATATGATAGAGGAAAAAAAAAAGAGGAGGCTTAGCAGTTCCAGAATTTAAATTATATTTTGAAGGATGTGCATTAATGTGGACAAGAGAATGGATAACATTGGAAAATGAAAAAAATATTAAACTTAGAAGGAATAGAATTGAGAGCTGGATGGCATAAATATCTCTGGTATGAGAGAGTGAAAAAAGAAAAAAATGGAAATCATTTTGTAAGATCGGCAACTTACAAAATTTGGGAAAAATACAAAAAGAAAATTTGTTGAAAACTCCACTATGGGCCTTGCCGCTAGAAGCTCTGCAAAGAAGAGAGTTAGGGTTGGCCAAAATATAAAGAATTAACGAAAAAAAGAAAACGGATTCCTAATATTGAAATTGCAACAAGAGATGAAGGAAGTAAATGAAAAAATCTCATGGTTCCAATACTGGCAGATAAGGGAGTGTTTCAAAAAGGACAAAAAATTAGGCTTTGAAGAACAAAAAACTTTTTGGGACATGATAATACAGACAGATAAGAAGATAATAACAAAGATATATATATATATATAAACTACTAGTGGAATAAGGAAACAAATGAGGAAAAAGAATATATAAAAACATGGAAAGAAAACATCGGAAGAAATATAAAAATAGAGGAATGGGAAGAAATTTGGACGAGGAAATTGAAATATGCATAAGCATCTGACCTAAAAGAAAATTGGATAAAAATATATAACCCCTCATAAATTAGGAAAATGCTACAAAAATGTCAACACAGAATGTTGGAAGTGTAGAAAGAAAGAGGGCACATATTTCCACATGTGGTGGACGTGTGAAAAAGCAAAGATTTATTGGAAGAGAATACAAGAGACATTACAAAAAATGTTAGACATAGATATTCACCTAAAACCTGAACTATTTTTTGCTGGGAATGACGGAACAAAAAAATGGAGAAAAACACAGATAAATTACTGTTTCTGTTAACTACTGTGGCTAGAATCTGCTATGCAAAACTATGGAAAAAAACAAGAAATACCAGACATAGAAGATTGGCTAGAAAAAGTGCTCGATATTAGAAACATGGACAGACTTACTTACCTGTTATCCAGATACAAGGATACACCGATAAAAGAGACAAACTGGGCGAAAGTCACAGAATATTTAAAAGAAAAAAAATAAGACAATAATATAAATTCATGGAATCAACCCCATATGAAAGAAAGAGAGAAGGACTGAAGAAAGAAGAATAAAAGAGAAAGAGAGAGAAAAAGGGAAAAGGAGGATACCTCACAGAAGATACTCAGGAAGTCATGAAGAAACTCAAATTTCTTTTTTCCTTTTTCATTAATTTATTATTATTATTTATTTATTTTCTTTTCGCCTTTTTAAGGCCATTTCCCCCCTCTTTTTGATTTTGATTTCAAGCATGTTATAGAAAATCTCAATAAAGATATTTAAAATAAATAAATACATCACTGGGCGAGCCACACATGTAAGAGTGTTTTGGTGCTTTGGAACATCTGCTGAGGACTGTCTTCTCATAGGGATGTACTTAATGAAATTATTAATTACATTGAGAAAGAACAAATGGTTTAAACCGTGTTGCATTTGTTTTTTGTATGTGTTTTTGTTTTGTGTTCCAAGTGCTGAATGACAGTTCTAGACAGCAGGGTTTGTAATCCACTGAGTACCCTTGGACAAGTCATATTCTCTCAAGGTTCATCAGCATGAACCCAAACATCTGAAGTGGCTGCGACGTTGCTCCTAGATGTCAACAAGATATCCAAGGACTTTTATTCCTTATCATGGGATAAACCGTAGGATTTTCTTTTGTGTGTGTGTCAGGAGTGACTTGAGAAACTGCAAGTTGCTTCTGGTATGAGAGAATTGGATGTTACCCAGGGAACACCCAGATGTTTTGATGTTTACCATCCTTGTGGGAGGCTTCTCTCATGCCCCTGCATGGAGAGCTGGAGCTGACAGAGGGAGCTCGTCCACGCACTCCCTGTATTTGAACCTCTGACCTATCGGTCATCAGTCCTACAGGCACAAGGGTTTAACCCTAGGATAAACCTGGTTAAATTGGTTGATCCTTGCACTAAGGAAAGCTGAGGGGTGTGCTTAGGAAAGCTGGCTCATAGAGGCTTTGCCCTGCCATTGACATGTGCATGTGTGACTGCTTTTTCCTGACCATAGGTTAAACACCAGTAGATAAGCCTTCAGTCTCAGAGGAAGGCAATTTCAAGCCTTACCAAGAAAATCTTGTGATAGTCTCAACTGTGGGCTGCTGCAACTCTTAAGTGGCTCTAAGGCACACAGGAAATACTCATGTCTTGTGTAATGTTTCTATAAAGAACATTTTACTGCTTCTGTATTTAATGAGCAGAAGGCACTGTTTCTGCCAGATCTTGTCTACAATGCTCTGCTGGAGTCTGAAGCAATAAATATTTCCTCAGGTGTCTGTCAGCTTCTGGGTTTGTCTAACATTAATTGGGAAAACAGACAATAGGGAACATCTTTAAAAACTGTGCAAGTTTCAAGGACATTCTTTTAAGAGAGGAAAAATCCAAAGGATTGTGTCATTGTCATCCACTTGCTGCATGAACATAGCTGGCAATGATCCTCAACTGCCTTGACCAATTTGTTGTTATGTTTTTGGAAAGCAGGAAAAAGGGTGAGGCTGGGTTTTCTGACAATAGGGCGAAGATATGCTGAGGACTATTAACCACATGCTTCCATTTCAATGGAAAGTCTTAACTATAACTACCTAATCCTAGAAACAAGGGGTTGTCTGTGCTACATACTCACAGGGAACTCTATTTATTTATGACGTTTCTACCCTGCTTTTCTTCAATCTGGAGGGGACTCAAGGTGGCTTACAAACAGAAAACTATTTGGTGCCAGAAAACAATATACAATTAAAATAAACCTTTAAATGGAATTATAAAATACATTTAAAACATTTTATCTTAAAAACATTTAAGATAATATTTTCACAATATTGTAAAATTCCGCGTAATCCAGGCCATTCCAATAGCTATTGTACATCATTCCATATCTACTATGTAAGTTCTCCAAAAGCTTGGTAACAGAGCCACGTTTTCACTCTCTTATGGAAGGTCAGGAGGGAGGGACTGATCTAATATTCCTGGGGAGGCAATTCCACAGCCAAGGGGTCACCACTAAGAAGGCCCTGTCTCTTGTCCCTGCCAATCTCGCCTGCAAAGGAGTAGGGACCAAGAGCAGGTTTGCCCCAGATGACCTTAAACTCCAAGATGGCTCATAGTCTTAAATGGTTCCGGCCCAGCTTGCCTGTTTGAACGGATCTCCCCCTATAAACCATTTTGGAGTTTAAGATCATCTGAGGAGAACCTGCTCTTGTTCCCTCCTTCTCAATCTCTCCCTGCAAAGGAGGAGGGACCAAAAGCAGGTTCGCCCCAGATGATGTTAAACTCTGAAATGACTCATAGGGGGAGAGCTGTTCGAACAGGTAAGCTGGGCCAGAACCATTTAAGACTTTATAGGCTAAAGCCAGCACTTTGAATTGTGCTCAGTTGCAGACTGGAAACCAGTGAAGCTGACGTAACCGGGGGGAAGGGGGTTGTATGCTCCCTGTACGCCGCTCCAGTGAGCAATCTGGCTGCCATGGGTTGGACCATTTGAAGCTTCCAAACAGTCTTCAAAGGCAACCCCACATAAAACGCATTGCAGTAGTCTATATGGGATGTAACCAGAGCACGGACTACTGTGGGATAAATTGTTCGGGTAAGTTAACAGTGATCACCTGTTTAAACTCTTCCATGGATATATGTGTGCATAGATGTTTATTGGTATAAGGTGGGTCTTGATTATCACTGGATTTGGTTCCAGGGCCACACGTGGGTACCAAAATTTATAAATACTCAAGTCCTATGATATAGAATTACATTAAAAGAGGTGCCCCTTATACAAACTGACAAAGCATTTTTTTATTTAAAAATATTTTTCATGTCATGGATAGTTGACTCCAAGGATATGGAGGGTGGACTCTTTCTCTTTGTGTGTTCTGGATATATATGTGTTTGTGTGTTTGTGTCTTGCAGACTCTTCACCCCAAGGTATATTCTTCCTTAGAAAGAGACTACACTGCACCTCCGTCACCATGCAAACTCTCCTAGGACTCCTGTTTTTCTCTGTATTTCTAACTAAAGGTACTGAATGTTGTATCCCCATCCTTCTTCTCTTAGGATCAGTGGAGCCAGATGGGAGCCATACAGAAATCATTGTCATTTTTTTAATCGTTATTGGAATCCACTGGAACTCCTCAAAGATGGAGAAGACGGGCTTCTCAAAAGCGGTTATCAAGTTGGAATGGATGAAATATAATTACAAGCATCCAAAGAAGGATGGATAGAATATACAAAAAATATTTGAAAAAAAAAGTTTTTCAAATATTTGCTAACCTTGATGAGAAAAATCCTGAAATCATGAAAATAGACCTAGTCTATACAAAATGTGCACATATTTGATCTGCATGAAAAAGAAATTTTCTGCACAGAAACAATATTTCAGCAGAGAAATTCAGTTTTTATTACAAGGCAAGCATATGCACATTTCACACAGAATAAAGCCTCATCTACAATGGCTACTTATAGAATCATAGAGTTGGAAGAGACGTTATGGGCCATCCAGTACAACCTCCTGCCAAGAAGCAGGAAAATTGCATTCAAAGCACCCCTGACAGATGGCCATCCAGGTTCTGTTCAAAAGACTCCAAAGAAGGATCTTCCACCACACTCCGGGGCAGAGAGTTCCACTGCTGAATGGCTCTCACAGTCAGGAAGTTCTTCCTCATGTTCAGATGGAATCTCCTTTCTTGTAGTTTGAAGCCATTGATCCTTTGCTCCAGGGGAGCAGAAAACAAGCTTGCTCCCTCCTCCCTATGACTTCCTCTCACATATTTATACATGGCTATCATGTCTCCTCTCAGCCTTCTCTTCTTCAGGCTAAACATGCCCAGCTCTTTAAGCCATTCCTCATAGGGCTTGTTCTCCAGACCCTTGATCATTTTATTTATTTATTATTTATTTCAAAGTTTTATATACCGAGCTTCTCACCTCTTTGAGGGACTCAGCCCGGTTTCCAACATAAAACACATACAATCAGTAAAATATCATAGTTCATAATTACAATAACACATTAAAATAACAAATATCTTTAAAACTACAGTGGTCAGTCGTCATACTATACATCATCTTCCATCCAAATCTTAGTGTGTTGTCTCATTCATTGAAAGCCTGTCTCCATAACCACGTCTTCACCTGTTTCCTGAATGTCAGGATAGACGGGGCGGTTCTGACCTCCGATGGGAGAGAGTTCCAGAATTGTGGGGCCACCACCGAGAAGGCCCTGTCCCTCGTCCCCACCAGGCGCGCTTGTGAGGCCGGTGGGACCGAGAGCAGGGCCTCTCCAGACGATCTTAATAATCTTGATGGTTCGTAAGGGAGAATACGTTCGGAGAGGTAAACAGGGCCAGAGTCGTTTAGGGCTTTATAGGTTAACACCAGCACTTTGAATTGTGCTCGGAAGCTAATTGACAGCCAGTGGAGCTGGTGTAACAGCGGAGTGGTGTGCTCCCTGAACCCAGTCTGGGCAAGGACAATGTCAGTCTATGTAGGGGTGGGGAAGGGGACTGCCATCCCATTTCCCTGGGTTGCCCAAGTCTAGGAAATGTGAGCTTGCAGTGGAGATAGTTGCCTCCTCCCACCCAATGGAACTGTCCTCAACTGTCCTCTCTGCCATCATACTTCCCTGGGCTTGGGCAGTCTGGGAACATGGGAAGGCAGTCCCCACCCGCTATGTTGAACCGATCTCTGGCCAACATGACAATTGTTCCCCATCATTAGCGGTGCTACACAGATACTATCATGCAATTTGGCTTGAAGTCAAGGTGTCCACAAAATGTACATCCCAATTTATACTGTAGTGTTTATCGAGCTAGAAACAGCATGTTAAAAAACTCACCAGGGAATCTGAAACAAGCCAAACCACGTGCTGCAGCTTATCAGAATATATCCCATGCAAAGTCTGAAATTGAATCAAAAAATGTAGACACCAAGCACTGAACACTATTAAAAATGGAAAAACATAGCTGCCCAGTAGGTAAACAATTACTTCTCCAGGAGGAGAACCTACATAATTCCCATGGGAACTCACACTCTCAACCACTCTAATCTCATTCGCTGTGCCCTGCCATAATCCAGCACTGATCCTGAATAGACATGGATATGCACAACAATGCATTTTAGCAGACCGATTAAGGGGGGAAAAACTTGCAATTTTCTGGCGGCTGTTTTGCTACTGATATTGCAGTTTCTGGATTCAGTTCTGATTTGCATTCAGCAGATACTGTGTCTACCATCCCAGCCTTGAACCAATTCCTGGGGGTGTTGACACGTGAAAAAAACCAGCTGATCCTTGAAAATGAGGCCCTGCGGCAGAATGATTATCGATTGTCTGAACAGCTGAAGCGGATGTCTATACAGTGTGATGTTTGGTGAAGCAAAGTACTGTGCAGTGAAAGCGGTCTCTTTTAATTCACTTCCAAGATGGATTATAGTGTTAGGGGTGTACGGAATTCCGGAGATTTATTTGGAATTCAGATATTTTCGGCGATTTGGCAGCCAAACTGCCAATACAAATCAGGAAGGACCCCCTCCGACGCCTTATCGGAATGAAACATGGGCCGCCAAATCTTTTGGCTAAATTCAGGCAAGATTAGTTGATTCTGGCTTATTTTTCATCATTAGTATTCTGACTGTTCGTTTGTTTTGAAATGAAAACAGAATGGATTTCTGCCATTTTGCACGCCCCTATACAATGTCTGCATAGAACTGCTCTTACGTAAAAAAAAATCATCCTGAAATAAAAGACAATGGGTGTATCTACACCAGGCATGGGCAAACTTCAGCCCTCCAGGTGTTTTTGGACTTCAACTCCCATAATTCCTAACAACCTACAAGTGGTAAGGAATTGTGGGAGTTGAAGTCTAAAACACCCAGAGAGCCGAAGTTTGCTCCTGCCTGATCTACACTGTAAAATTAACGCAGTTCGACACCACTAAAATTGCCATGGTTACCATGTATATGTGTGGATCATGGAAGGGACCATACTTTAATTGGTTATACCATACAATGTGGTTTACACCTATGTGTGCTCATACGCAATATGGCACTGTTTTGGAATATGCTGTGATTTTTCTTAGATTAATGCCTCTATTTCACATTTGTTCATGCTGTGCATCATTTATACACTGGATTTTTGAGTTGCCTTGAATCCACTTTAAGTGGTTCATGTAGGTATACCCCTAGTCATTCAAACAACTACACCATGCTGGCATTGCCACTGTTCAGTTCATGGAGTATCCATTTCTCCTCCAGCTACTGAGGAGACTTTGGCTCAAATGAAAAGGAACAGGCAATCTAGGGCTGGCAGCATGTGATGTTATGGTCTCTGCTTACCAAAGTGTCTGGGGTTTTTGACCCTGTGAGCCCTGGTTACACCATGCTACTAATTATGACAAGCTTTTTTCTTTCTTCCTCTAGCTTTCTCTTTGCAGTGTGAACAATGCAACATGACTGACTGCACTGGTAAGACTGTAATTTGTCCTCCTGAAAAGGATGTCTGTTATTCTATGGATCTGGAAGCCAAAGACAGTGAGTAACTTATTGAACCAGCTTCAAATCACACAAGCCCATGTGCCTACAGTGCCCCCTTGTTGTTATGGTTTTGTGTTGTTATTAAATAGTTACAATATTACATTATTATTCAAAATTCCCCGTAAGTATATATGAACAATTTATTTTACCTATTTTTATTTATTTATTTATTTATTTGCTATATTTATATACCGCCCCTCTCAGCCCAGAGGTGACTCGGAGTGGTTCACGAATTGGCAACAATTTGATGCCTCGACAATTATAACAAGTAAAAACAATCAAATTCAGTTTAAAAACAATAGCAAATGATATAAAATATAAAAATCATAAAACCCACAAAAAACCTTAAAACATTATCTTGAGCGTCCCCATGTCAAATCGTTATTCCATTGCATTATCAAGTAGTCCCATAATTCAGTTTAGCTATGCTGTATTTGGGAAGGTCTGCTCAAAAAGCCAGATTTTCACCTTTTTTTTTGAAAAGTCAGGAGGGAGGGAGCCTATCTTATATTTCTAGGCAGGGCGTTCCACAGTCGAGGGGCCACCGCTGAGAAGGTCCTGTCTCTCATCCTCCGCCAGATGCATCTGCGAAGAAGGCAGGAGCGAGAGCAGGGCCTCCCCAGAAGATCTTTATGTCCTAGGTGGTTCATAAAGAGAGATATGTTCAGATAGATAAGTAGGACCAAAACTTACCTATATCTAAAACTTCCGCTAAAGAGAAAAAAATCAAAGTGCTGGCTTTAAACAGTGTATTTTAATATTGAGATAAATGTTTTTAAAGTTTATGTATGCATATAATGAATTCTTGTCCCAGCATTGAATGTTTGCCGTATATATGCTGTGCTCCGCTCTGAGTCTCCTTTGAGGTCAGAAGGGCAGAATATAAATGTTTTAAATAAATAAATAAATAAATAAATAGTAAGCCTATAAAGCCCTAAATGGTTCTGACCCAGCTATCCTATCCAAACGTATCTCCCCCTATGAACATTATTGGAGATTAAGATCGTCCAGAGAGGCCCTATTTATTTATTTATTTACGACATTTATATTTATTATTTATTTATTTACTTTATTTATATACCGCTGTTCTCAGCCCGAGGGCGACTCACAGCAGTGTACAACACAGAAGCAGCAAAATACAAAGCACAATAAAAACAGTTCACAACATTATACAAAAAACAACAACATCATTACTCCAAAACCCATTCCGCGTCGTCTCATCGTCCAAACCACAATCCAATATCGTATTCCGTTATTCCGTTCCTATAGTCATTACCAATCATTGCACTTCTTGTACGAACGCCTTCTTAAACAACCAAGTCTTTAATTTCCTGCGGAATATTATTAGGGAAGGGGCCAGTCTGATGTCCATGGGAAGGGTGTTCCACAGCTGAGGAGCCACCACCGAGAAGGCCCTATCTCTCGTCCCCGCCAGCCGTGCAGGGCCTCCCCGGAAGATCTCAAAGTCCTGGTGGGTTCATAGGTAGAGATGCGGTCGGATAGGTAGCTTGGGCCGGAACCGTTTAAGGCTTTATAAGCCAACGCCAGCACCTTGAATTGAGCCCGGTAGCAAATCGGCAGCCAGTGGAGCTGGTACAACAAGGGGGTGGTATGCTCCCTGTGTCCGGCTCCTGTTAGTATTATATGCCGCCCTTCTCACCCTGAAGGAAACTCAGAGCTGCTTACAAGATATATTTTTGTTGTTCATTCGTTCAGTCGTCTCCGACTCTTCGTGACCTCATGGACCAGCCTACGCCAGAGCTCCCTGTCGGCCGTTACCACCCCAGCTCCCTCAAGGTCAGTCCAGTCACTTCAAGGATGCCATCCATCCATCTTGCCCTTGGTCGGCCCCTCTTCCTTTTGCCTTCCACATACAATATATTATATTATTAGCATAGTACAATATGAGCATTAAACATTGCTATATTGCACCATACCACTATATCGTAATATTATTAGTAATGTTACATGTAATATAAATATATAATTATAATATCATATTATTATTATTTTGCATTACATTATAATATTATAAATATTATTTGTATATATTATATTATATTATATTATTAGAATAGCACAGGAGACAAGGCCCTCCTCTCAGTTCTGCCTCCTTCGCAAGTGCGATTGGTGGGGACGAGAGACAGGGCCTTTTCAGTGGTGGCCTCTTGGCTGTGGAACTCCTTTCCCAGTGATATTAGATCAGCCCTTCCCTCCTGACCTTCAGAAAGAGGGTGAAAACATGGCTTTGGGATCAAGCCTTTAGCAAGTAACACAGTGCAATAGATGGACTTGGTTTTATGTGTAATGATTACTGGAATGGCCTGACTATGATTGCGGATAATGTGGTTTTATAGTTGTAATTGCAATGTTTTGTATGTTTTAATTCTCATGATCTCATTTCAATTTTTAATTGAAATATTTATTTAATTGTATATTGGATGTATATTGTTCTTAAGGCACTGAATTATTGCCTATCATGTAAGCCGCCTTGATTCCCCTTCGGCGTCGAGAAGGGCGGGATATAAACATAGTAAATAAATAACTAAAAATAAATAACTTTCTGATATACTCCACAACTTAAAAAAAATGACTTCCAACATTTGACTTATAAAAAATAAATAATAAATTGGCTTCCCACATACCAATCCAAAAATATTTCTGTAAAAACAATTACTGATTATCTCACTATTTTGTAATATTTATAACATCTTAGTTTCTACCCTATCTATATATATGAAAAGAGCAAAATGGATATGCATGTAGGTTTATTTGTTTGTTCCATAAAGGCTCCTACATAGCTTGATAGATCTGGACAAGATTTGGTACACATAGCCTGTCATGAATGACTTTTCAATAATTTTGAAGCATAGGTTCTTTTTATTGCAATTTCCAGTGTGAGAGGGTACATCAGATTACAGAAAAACATTTAGACAAAGAATGACATTGGACATACAGACATACAGATTCTATGCAACTACATTGGATTTACAATTACATGGCTAACAAACAAACAAAGGAGAATTACATTTTCACTCAACATTCACACATATGTACATGCATTTGTCCTCATACACTCAAATATTATTATATCCTTTTCTCCCTCATTGGAGAAGCACATGTTAGGCTAGACACTGTTTTCCTGCAGCCCTTCCAACACATAATTTCAAAACACCAAAATGCATCCTTTCCCTAAGAACAATGCCAGGGACCAGATCTCTGTTTTCCATACAGCAGAACCTGACTCCCTGCACAAAATCTAAGACTCCAAAAGTGCACTTCTTCCTCTTCCCTTGAGAAAGAAGCCCCAAAGTGACCAGACTGCTTCCATACAAATCTGCCACTATCCATAGCTACACTATCTCTCTCCATCCCATGTAGCACAGCATAGTGGGTGAACCAGACTCCGCATGTCTGTCACACTTTGAGGATTATTAGATTGAATCCTTTATAGGCATATTCTGCTGATGTCATCCCAAAGTTGTAAATTAATGATAGATGTCTCCCATCTTGGCTCCATCTCAGTTTCCTGATCAGATGTTGATTCTTCTTGATTGGTGTTGACAAACACAAGGCTTGTGTTGACTTCCTTCTTAACATAAGGAATGTTACAAACATTTCTGTTATCACTGTCCAGTTCTTATCAGAGTTTACTTTTCATTTCTCATTAGCAACTTTTAATTATAGTCCAGCAAGCAGGTAGTTAGTCATTGCAGGCCTGGGTCTTTTACTGGTGTTTCCAAAATTATTAGCTTCATACATCCTTCCATTCTTCCATTCATTCCTACACATCATATTAAATCCACATTTATAAAATCTGCACATTAAATTTTTGTGACAAGCCTTCATTATCCAATATAAAACAACAGTGAGGTTTCGACTGAAAAATCCACCTCTTTCAGATGCAAAGCTGAGGGAAAGGAAAAGAACAAAGAGGATTGGCTGCTGTTAGTTAACATTGCCCCTTGTCACATGATTGGGAATGAAAGAAGTGAAGCGGATTAGCTTCTGCTAGGTGGCATGCGTAAGAAAGGGAGGAAGGAAGGAAGGAAATAATGAAAGAAAGAAAGAAAGGAAAAGGCCAAGGGGGAATGGAGGGAGAAAAGGAAAGAGGAAGGAAGAAAGGAAAGAAACAGAAAGAAATGGAGAGAAAAGAAGAAAAAGGGATGAAGGAAGGGAAGGAAGTTCCCCCCGACTTTGGAACTCGCTAACTAGCGGTATTAGGCAAGCCCCTACCCTGGCAGCCTTTACGAAAGGCTAAAAAACCTGGCTCTTCTGATGTGCCTTTGACGAATGAACACATACCCCCATGTCTGTCCCAATTACAGATTTGTCCTCATGATGCACTTTCTCCCGTCCTTAATAAAAATCAACCCCATTGTTCGCCCCTTCCGAGTTCTCCTCCAGACACATACTATTCCATATACTTATCTCACCCAGGGTTTTATCAATTTTTCTCTATGCATTTGGCCCACCCATTGTCTGTTCATTTCTCCGCCGTGTTATGTTGTGTTTGTTTATTTTATGCTTTGTTATTTTATATATTTTATTTATTTGTTTGTTGTATTTTATTTGCTGTATTGTAATTTTGGGCTTGCCTCATGTTGGCCACCCCGAGTCCCCTTTGGAGAGATGGTGGCGGGGTATAAACAAAGATGATGATGATGATGATTTGAAACACAACAAGATGAGTCCACAGCAGACAAGATCACTCTGCTGGCTGTTGTATTGGATCACACGTCATACACTTCCCAAGTGTCTAGGATTGTGTGATGTATTGGCGAATAATGTGTGCAGATCCCAGTAAGGTGGCCTTTTGCAGATGACAGTTGGTAATTTTGTCAGTGCCAATTGTGTTAACATGCAGGCCAAGGTCTTTAGAGAGCGGAAGAGAGCGGAACTGGTTTTAAATTGATTTTAATGTATATGTTGTGTTAATAGTTTATGCCTATGTTTTTTTATATTGTATGTTTTTGTATTATTTTGTAT